CCTTTAACTCCCAGAAGTGATTCACAAGTATCTTCTCCCTATGATATATAAACATTATCCAGCAAACAGGTTACAAGAATATTCATACTTGTCAGGTCAAAGTTGTTATCTTGATCTGACACCAAATTCTCATAACCTATTTAAACGGAAATATGAAGCAGCTAGAGGGAAGAATTAACTATCAGATCTCGCTAGTTAAAGGGTTAAAAGATGGGGTATTTTGTCCCGTACACAGTATGGCGATGTCATTGTAGTATCTGAGGTTATTTCCACAAATTCACCCCATCAATATATTACTGAAATTGAAGACTGATCCCAATGAAATACAAATTTGTCAATTTGTGGCAGGTACGGATAAAGTACTTAACTATCCTGTTCATGTGTACTAAATCAATGACTAAAGACTTGACTGACTTGGGAGAAATTCACAATTTAGATACTTAGAATAAAAAGTGTCTTACCAACAAGGCCAACATTCACTGCTAGAAACACTGAGAAAACAAAAGAAAAAGTTAGTTCATGATATACATTCTGTAACAGCAATATACAGGTAGGTAAGTTTTGCTAATTGAATATTTGACAATCTTGATCATATTTACTTTTATGAGCCAGAAAATTTATTGAGATATATGGGGAAAAAAAAGCACTAGAAAAAATGCATCATTAAATTATTTGTTTACAAAAGCATACTGCCTTGCACATAATTATGTAACCATTGGCTATACGTTAATTTCTTTCTGTACATTTATGAGAGATATAAATTTACCTGTTATTGTTTGAAGAAATATTGTGTTCATATTGCGGATATCAACTTGGACCATACAACTCGGACCTGCAGATTGAAAATAATGTTCGATTCTAATACTAACATTGTTCATTGTTTACACAGCACAAAACAGTTATAAACACGAAGGAAAAAGGCGAAAAAATAAATTTATTATAAAGTAGTGACGGCCATACGTAGTATCGAAGCTATACCTTGAAAATAGAGATTCGCTTTTTCCCATCG